CTACAAGTCATGAAAACTCCATGGATTAGGCAGAAGCATTGTATTCGAAGAGTCACATTCCATGAATAGTCAAGAAAAATCCAAAATTATATCAAGTGAATTTTGATTAAGATTGGCCTTCAACTTTACCTTCATTGCAATTTAATTAACTAATAATTTTTAGTATCACATCTTCTTTCTTCGTGCTATTCATAGTCATTTTTTTTTTTGGATAAACCCGATAATTACCTCTTTTACGACTAAAACACAAAACTCTTGGATATAATTAATTCTAGTGACTAAAAGATTTGCTATCGACCACAAGGGAAGAGGTACGAGGTTAGTTGTGCCGTATATAGAAGGATTTTTCGGATAAACCATTTTTGTTTTTATATATTACAAATTTGTCATAAATCAAGACAAAATTTTGATGATATAACAGGAACAAGTTCATTTTTAGATTGTTCGAATTTTGGTTTAGTTAATATTTAAACTAATTGCATGTCTTTATTTGTGCAAAACTACTTTATATTTATTCAAGGTCTTTGGGATTAAGCCTAATTAGAAGCAAATTCCTTGATTTTTAGATAATTTATAACACCTCTAAAAAAGTTTTGACTTTTGATGAATTTTTTAACATAAATTTATGATGATTTTCAGAACTCTAGAAAAAAAAAAATTATATTTTTCTCAACAAGAGTTATTATTATATTATTATTAGGTCAAACCTCAAGAAATGTCAAACATATTAGTTTGTATAAATAGTTGATTTTAGATTCGACATCTTCACTCATTAATTAATATATTTCATTATCTACATGACAATTGAAGATTAATGTCTTATTACTTGACACACAAATTTGCGAATGTAAATTTGAAATACGATAATAATATTATTCTAAATTGAAATATAATGAAAGCTAATAGGGGTGGTCACTGGATCTCTTATCCGACCGATAGTTTCAGGATCTAGAGAGATTAGTTGAGGTACGCGTAAACTGACCCAGACACCTCCGGTCATTAAAAAAAAAAAAAAAAAATTGAAATGTAATATATATTTTTGCTTGATTAATACCATTAGGTCTAACCTCCAGGATTGGCTCCATAATATATCTAAAATCAATCATAATCCTGTGAGAAAATGGGGGAAAAAAAAATCAATCTCAAGGATTTGGCATCTTTTTTAGTCAATGTAATAGAGTTTAAAATATAAATTATAATCACTGCAAATAATATTGCTTACCTGTGGTTGCAAAAAAAAAGGTTTATAATTATATAAAAATTAAGATCAGTGCCGTCTAGCTAGTAGTGGGTTCAAATCCAGCTCTTTTGGAAACACTGATTAAATCTGAATTAGGAGGAGGTTAATTAGGGATTTAGGAGTAGATGTAATCTAACCCTCTGTTTAAGCATAGCCTTTTAGAGATTAACATAGACCTTACATAATTAAAGTTTTAATTTTCTACCTTTTCACTTTTAAAATTTTCTTGTTAGGTAAGATGTGGGGGTGGTACGTGTTAATTTGGGTTAAGGAATATGGGTGAGCTGTGATACATAAGGGCCCTCCCTCTCACTGTGAAAATTATAAGTTGGGATGATTTATAAGAAGGGGACAAATTAAGCCTAACATTATATAGAGACAAGAGGAGATTAGTGATTAGTGTTTCCACCTTCGTCGGCAACAACAAAATCTAAATCCTTGAAATCTATTTGTTTTCATCCACCTCCCCTCTACTATATATTCTGATACTGACAAAGTTGCTGGTATCCCTACCTTAACCATTTCTTCTCTCCATTCAAACCTTTCGTTATTCATGTGTAGCCGACTCCCTTTTAAATCCGGCACCATCATATCGTAATCAATAGTTTCAAACTCTATATATAAAAACCCTAACGGTCAAAAAGTAATTAAGACGTTTTTTTCCATTCTATCTATATACCATTCAAGTGTGGTAACCCTTATATGACACATTGTAAATATGTTTAAGATAAAATAAGGAAGTATCGTATTAATGGTAATTCAGATTGAGGTTATTAAAGATGGTTTTGAACTATTTTCGATAAAATAAAACATCCAAAAACTTATAATACATTTCAAAACCATCTTCTTCTTCTTCTTCTTCTTTTTTTTTTTTTTTTTTTTTTGGTGACTAATGTAGAAAATGTTAGATGAATGATACTTTATAAATTAAAAAAAAAAACTTTATATTATAAAATAGAAGATTCTTTACTATTAAATTATCTAAAAAAGTTAAATGAAAGTACTGATTTGAAATAAGATATTGTCATAATTAAAAAGGATTTCGAATTATAAGTATCAACACCTTTTTTTTTTCCCCATTATATGTCACATTGTAAATATGTCTTGAGATGAAGCTAGCTTATATAAACCTAGACTTTTATTTTTATCCCCATATTAATATTTGACGCGGTTTTGAATTTGATGTGGGTCTAAAAATCTTTGAAATTTTGAGTTATATTATTCACGCATTCGACTGCGGTTGTCATGTCTTTAGTTTAGTTTACTCTATATACGTGTTTGCGTAAACCCTGGGACACCTTGAGAGTCAGGCAACGATTTTTAATGCAGTTTGACTTGGAAAGAAAATTAATTAAGAAAATGGGGATTGCAGTTGCAGGGTCAGCTCCCACCATTATTGTAACTAATAAGGTTGGTATAATACTTAAGTTCACGCATTTAATTGTTGATTATAGTAGGTCCAAAACAATGACCGGCCTAAGTTTAATCACTCTACCCCTAATATAATTTTTATAATCTGATTCTGATTGGGATTTACCTAATCGATATTTATAGCCTATTCTTCCAATGCATGCGTCTTATTGATCTCACATAGACGTTAGCATCATTTTATTGATTACTTTAGTGTTTTATACTGAATTTTTTAGAGGTTAATGATCAGTTGAGTCATTGATTAATTATGTTAGAAACACAACAACCGCTACAGCTAATAGTGACAAGCTATATTCATTTGATCATTGTCCTGTATTGCTTTCTTCATCTCATCAGATTGCTTAAGTTTTTTGATCCATTGTTTATCTTATAATTGTAAGTTAGTTCGTTAATTATTTGCAGATATCGATAGCGAACTTGTATAGAGACAGGACTAAAAAAATTGATGAATTAATTGGTAAATTAATGTAAAATTAATTCACTAAAACCCTTTTTTTTTTTTTTTTTTTGAAAAAGTAAATTTCATTAAAAAAGAGAAACTATATAGAAAACTATGGATATATTCCCAGAAAAGACCAAAAGAAAACTAGAATATATGTACCCAAAGGAGGGAGATAGGCACAGACGCCGTAATTGAGCTCGTAGAGACGCCCAATCAGAGCGCATAGGCTTAGAACAGATAAGACCAATTCAGTAAAACCTTGTGCTGCCCTTTTAATTACATTAATGAATTAAAGGATGATTATCTAAAAGTTACATTGGATGGTCCAGTTTTGTTCTTCCTCGTGAAAACAGCCAAATATGAGGCACAATGGTGTCCACAGAACAAGTATCTGAAAACAGTTTCAGCATAGTACCCTAATTAGAAAGTGTCCTCTAATGAGTGATTAAATATTTGATTATAATTAACATTTAAGGTTTTCAAACCAGTGTTTAACAAATTAAATTAAAAAAACCAAATGTGGGGGATATCCAAATTGACTTGTATCTCTCTACTTGAAGATCGTATCTCTTAAACAACAATATTATTTGATACATTCAAACTACTGCCAGTTGGGTCTAAATATTTCTTTAATGGTGTTAGATCATTTTGTTGAAATTTTGGAGGAACAAATTAACTTAACTAAATTTTTATTTGCATTTAATGGAGATTATGGAGTACTTTAGCTGGCAATGAACTGGGTTTGGGGTTTGACATCTTTTGATTATTATAAAATCCTGCTGACTTTTCTTAATTAATATTAATTGATGGGATTATGATTATGTTTATGTTTATGTATACGAATTAGAGATTGCTGAAATGGGATTTGAAGTATGGATAGAGAAAGGGTTGTGGGGAAACTCTAACTCTAATATTGGTAATGGTAGCTAAGTTTATACTTGAAATATCATATTGCTGGAGAAGAAAAACACTGCTATAAATAAGAAAATGACAAAGAGTATAAGTGAAATAATGTACGCAAATGCACATGGTAATTTCTCTGAGAAATATACAAATGAACTGATATGGGCGGGGTGGGCGGAGATTTGGCTGTTTGTATAATCACATGGATTCCTCCTATGCATGTCTGACAAAGCTAAGCTATGTAAATTTGTAGTTTCATTGTTTCAATCAATCTCTCTCTCTCTCTTTTTATTATATACATTATACAGAGAAGTTCGTAAGAATCCGTGCTCTTTCAGCCTTTTTCTCTGTATCTCTGTATCCTTGTACGACTGATCGTATTATTACCAAATGACGAACCCCCTCTCTTCTTTGATAAAAGTGTCTCCTTCTTCTCTCCTCTTCATTCCTGTGTGTGTATGTATCACACGCTCTCTCTATATCAAATCAAGACACAATTTTGTTCTATGCTTTTTATTAATTATATGATTTGAACAAGGAGATAAAGACTTTATCCATTTTGAAAGTTTTGATGACTATGTCCAATTCTTTCAATTCAAAAAATATTTTTGAGATATGAAGATATTATCCGACAAGTATTGGGGTATTGGCCAATGAATCTTCAAATTTAGACTCAATTTTTTCTTGAGTCAGTGTCTAGTTGAAGATATTATCAATCAATTTAAAAATGAAATGACAAGTGTGGCTGAAAGTTGGAGAGTAAGTATTGGTTTACTACTTGAGGGTGGTATGAATTATATATCTCTTTCTATTATACTAAGCTTAGAAAGAAAGAAAGAAGAACTAAATTAATAAAATAATATTTTTCTTCCGGGAATGGCCATAAATTTCCTTAAAAAACAAAAGAAAATAATGGGCTTAAGCTTCTCTCTTTCAATAAAATTCCATACTATTTCACGTGCAATAAGCACTGTAGATTTTGGTTCATGAAGAAGGCCTTTAAAAGCTCAGTTTAAAACAATAATCAAAGCCAACTTAAACTTGATATTATTAAGTACTGCTTCTGCTTTCTCTCTGGGGTCTCTTTTCTACACTTCATCTTCTTCTTCTTCCATTTCTTCATGTGGGTTGGCCTTAAAAATTACAAAGAGTACTTAATTAAAGAGCTTTAGTTGAGGGAGAGAAGAATAATGGCGCTTGAGGCAGTTGTTTATCAGCAAGATTTTTTGGGCATCTACAATGGGTTGTTGGCAACGTCTAGTTGGGGCTATGACTGTGGTGGCCTGGAGAAAGAAGATGAAGATAAATTCTCTTTTGATCACTTTATTGACAACCAAACAGAAAGTAATTTTCTTCATGGACATTTCAACGACATGTTGTACCAGCCGAATTCATCCTCAGATGCTACCAATAATACCATTAATAATCCTAATGGTTCATCTTCAACCTTAATCCAAGACCTTCCTCAAATGGACTCTTCAGCAACCACCAGCATGCCTAGTTCTCGTCCTAAACGGCGTCGATCCAAAAGCCGGAAGAACAAAGAAGAGATTGAGAATCAAAGAATGACTCACATTGCTGTGGAGCGCAATAGGAGGAAACAAATGAACGAATATCTCTCTATTCTTCGCTCTTTAATGCCTGAATCTTATGTCCAAAGGGTATGTTTATTTTTGCAATAATTTTTTTTTTAAATTAATACTGAACCTCAAATGTTAATTAAACATGTATTTTCTTTGATTATTAGGGTGATCAAGCATCGATTATCGGAGGCGCTATAAATTTTGTGAAGGAGCTGGAGCACAAGCTACAGTTACTTGGTGGCCATAAAGAAATGAAGGAAAAATCCGAGAGCGGTTCACCTTTTGCTGAATTCTTCACATTTCCACAGTACTCAACAAGTTCAAATCTTGGTGATAGTGAAACAACAACTGTAGAGAATCAATCCGCCATAGCTGACATCGAAGTCACCATGGTAGAGAGCCATGCAAACCTCAAGATAAGATCGAAAAGGCGGCCGAAACTGCTGCTGAAAGTGGTTTCTGGGTTGCATACTATGCGCCTCACAATCTTGCACCTTAATGTCACAACAGTTGAGCAAATTGTTCTCTATTCTCTCAGTGTCAAGGTAAGCTAAATTAATTAAAAAAAAAAAAAATTGGGTTTAAATTCAAGAGAAATTATATGAAAAAAATACCAAGTGTTTTGATTTTATTTTGGTAATTTGCAGGTAGAAGATGACTGTAAGCTGACTTCAGTGGATGACATTGCCACAGCTGTGTATCAGTTGCTAGGTAGGATTCAAGAAGATGCTATGTTTAATTGAAATATGTGATTTAGATTTAGATTTTAGATTTAATTATCCACTGTGATTTGCTACTTCTTCTTCTTCTCTTTAATTTTACCCCCCCTTTATCATTATAATACCATTTGTGGGTACTTTCTTTGTTTTTAAATTAGTCTGTACCTGAAATTGCTCACTGCAATTACTGTTAATCTTCTCCCATTTTCATTTTTAATTAGTGTAGTTTGTTTGTTTTGTTGCCTTCTGGCTAATGGGTTGTTCATCTTTTTCCTCTTTGATTTTTTGTTTTCTAATAATAATTTTAAGAGCATATTGTGTTAATTTAAGCCACTCATTAATGGTGGTCAATTCAACATGTACTGTACGTGATAATGTTTGGCTATATTTACTTTTATTAATTTCAGCTTCAATTAGTATAATTTTGGGCAACATTTTTATATTTAATTCATATTATAATTAATATACAGGATTTAGCTCTTTCGAAGATGACTAAGAATAAGAATTTTCAAGTTTCCTTTTATGGCAACTTTTGTTCTGCATGATTATAGTCCACAATTTTCCTTCAAAAGCTGGTTATATATATATATATATATATATATACCAAAAGTGCTTTTAATTCTTTGAATAATTAAAAAATTATAATTGTTAGTATTAATTGAAGTTATGAGTTATTTAAGGCCAGTAACTAAAAAATGACAGACTTCTCACGAGTGATCACAAGACAAGATCAGTTTTAAATATAAATATAATTCATCACATGCAAAGTCAGAAGCAAACTCTGAGAAATATTCAAGATTTTCCTTCTCAAAAGCTTAAAGATGAGCAAGCACTAAGGAAAGAGAGCTACCATTAACAGCTTTAGAAGAAGGGTAATAAAGCTTTTTACTCTCTGCAACTCCCCACATTATTCTATTTTAAATTCTTTTTTGCTTTTTGACGATGATGATCTCGTGAAGAAGACCAAATAGAAGCAAAGGTGTGGGTAGAGCTAAGCTAGCTGGTTTGGTCTGGTCCATTAGCAAAGACATAATGGAATTTTGTATCCAGAAATGGGCAGGATGATGATTTTAAAATAAAGACTTCAAATCAAAATCATTTGCACATTGAACATCAAATTATGGCCCCCCATAGAGCCGTACGATGTTCACGGTCGAATCCCTAGGCGTTCAAAGTTGATTTGTTGGTGGGGTTTTGGTGTCGTTTAAGAGGCCAAAATTTATTAATTAAAGAGAATAAAGCTTGTGATTCGTTGATTAATTGTTTAATTACAGACAGTTGACTATTGATTTCAGCTTGGAAAACAGTATTGTTTCTGTATCTTTAGACCTTCGCTACAGCATTACTTCTGCTCTAATCTCATATATCTTCACAAAAACTTGAATTGAAGAGTAAAGATTTCTATATTAATATTTAACTCTTAACTATTGGGATTCAAACATTGCTGTCAATGGTGACAGAAGATGAGAAGAAGTGGCCTGAAATTTTAGAGAGATCTAGGTAGCTAGAGTTCTGTGGCAAGCCATTGATGATTGAGATAAACTAGTGGAACCGAAAGAGATGATAATCAAATTTATGAGTGGATGTTTGTAACTGTAGAACTTTCCAAACTGGCCAATAATGTATGAACATGTATGCAGTAAGAAAAGATAAAAGATGAGAGATGTTGTCTGATAAGTTTCTCAGCACAGCAGTAGTAGTATTGGGAGTATAATAAGTTAGGTCCCGATCATATTTTTATATAATACTTTTCACATGCAATATAGAAGCCTTTAGCAAAAGTTCTTTCAGTTCACAGGTGAACAAATAAATATATATTTCTTGATACTGGCAGTAGCAGGCAGCAGCAACAGCAAGAGAGGTGTATAGCTTTAGGTTAAGTTTTTATAATTTCAGAAGATTCCAACCCTGAAAACTCTCTCTCTTTCCATCTGTTTTACCTTGTTGTTTTGTAGTGGGGAACATATGGGTGAATGATTCCAATTCTCTCTCTCTCTCTCTCATATTATTTGTGAACTTTCAATGGAAAAGCACAAGTGTGTGAAAACTTTTACATATATATTTTTTATATGCCACTAGCAATAATGGGGTTGAGCTCTCCATTACATCCCCAAAGCAAAGAAAATTACAAAAAGAGAGATGCATGGGAGAGATTGGGCTTAAAAGCATATATATAAAAATTTTATTATAGAATTAGAGCAAAGTTTTTGTAAAGGGATATATTTAACTGCAGATAGTGACTTCCTTCCTTCTATCAAACAGAATAAAGCAAAAGAGATAAAGTCACCATAAAAAACAATGACAATACCCTCAATCAGCAATTGAAAAAGGAAGCATAAAATAACATTCATGTTTGATCATCAATAAGGAATAATATGTAAATTAATCTATCTACCATCTTTTAATTTGGTCCCACACCAAAATGCTGCATCAGAAGAGAATTTTCTCTTTTTTTTTTTTTTTTTTTATATATTTTTAAAAGGTTGAATCTGACTAGTTTTGCCTGTGTAATAAATGAGATCCCATTATTGATCTCTAACAGTATAATTAGCTGAATCAAAAACTATGGACATTATTTTTTTTTTTTTTTTTTTATATATTTTTAAAAGGTTGAATCTGACTAGTTTTGCCTGTGTAATAAATGAGATCCCATTATTGATCTCTAACAGTATAATTAGCTGAATCAAAAACTATGGACATTATTTACTCTTTGAAAAATTGAGAATAAGGTACAATTCAGAATAATTTTTTGATTTTCCCAGGTTTGTTTTTTATCCTTATGGCCCAAACATTCTCCACCCAATTATCAACAAATAAAAAAAACATAATAATCTCTGATGTGACATACCAACAAGAGAGCTAAAATTGTGACTTTGACAGGAACAAATATTAATGCCCCTTTACTCTCTCCTACTAAAAACAACAGAAGAATGCCATGGCAATAAACTCCTTCCTTCTTCAATTGCCTAACAAAAACAATCTGAAAAGTTAGGATAGCAAAGGATGTTGTAACTCCGCTAATGTTTATACATCAAATTATGATTATCTTGGAGAAAGATATATAGAGAGGTCGCGATCGAGATGAGTGAAGAAAGGTAGAGATAAAGATAGATGAAGCAAGGGCGAGGATCAGAATCTTACATGATGCGATATTAGCAGAGAGCTTCTATTCTATGATGTTGTATCCATCAGAACTGTTACAATTATTGTGTGTGTTGGGTCCATGGCATTGTCGATTTGTCAGGATGGGTTGGCATGGTTTTGTTACTTTTTCACTGCTAATGTACTGGTGAAAGAAAGAAAGATAGAAAAAAGGAAAAACTAAGGATGCTTTGTAAATTCAAAATAAATAAAAAAATCTCATATTAAATGGCTAAAGTACTAAAGGTAAGTAATTTTGTGTTAGGATCTCATATTGAGATTTCACATCCACCAACTGCAGTACTTAAACCTAGGGGCTCTCTCACCTGTTAAACCAGTATTTTGGGTTGGGTTTGAGAGTTGGGTTGTGAAAAGGGCTACTTATAAGCTAGATTAAGGTGCAATGTGGGAGGAGATATTGCATCGAATAATTGAAAGGTGAGTGAAATCGCCTGAAGGGTGTCAAGTCAGTGTCGATAGAGTGAAAGTGGTCATGGATATCGGCTCTTGAAGGGAGGTGCAATGATACCTTTGTTAAGCACCTATCAACGAGAGCATCAATGTTAGAACTCAAACTTTAAGAGAGAGTCCAACTCAAAAGACCGTCATGATAGGTGAGAGATCCTCCAAGCTTAAATACCACACTGGGTGGGTATAAGACCCCGAGGTGTTGTATGAAATTATTGGTGGATCTTGATTTAAAATATTACAAGAAACTCACCTTCCAATGGCATGAAAAACAAACCAAAAACCATTGTTTTTTCCTTTACCACAGTCAAACCCATAAACCAAAAATGGGCCAAATCATAGAAACATAATGTAGTAGACTCATGCTCCTTAAATTAGATACTCATATATCTAATAATGTCTTTCTTCCATTTCGATGGACGTACTCTATAGAGTTTGGCAACAAAAATTCAAAACTATATTTTGATTCTATATAAATCTACTTACGTTATGTAACTAAACTATTTTGTAATGCCTTGCAGGAATAGAAGAAACAAAATCATTTAGCTTCTAGCATTCCATGGTTCGCATTTTACCTGCAAATTTGACAGAAAATATTTGATCTTCGTCTCTTGCATACTGCTCCCGGAAACGACTCATGTATCAATTTGATGATTTCAAAAGGAAGATTGTAATTACCTGAATAATTTGTTTTCATGAATCATATATAGATGTGTTGGATTGAAAACTTGAAATGGATGATCTAAAGAAAGAAACAAAAGGTTGTATATATGAATTAGATGAGAAATGTTTGTTGTAGACTTTATCGAGGCGAATCTTGAGTAACAGGTTAAGAGCAAATAAAGCCGCAAATCAAGCCCGCAAATATGGGAATCAATCCGAGAATGAGAGTGAAAATCAGCATTTAATTAAATTGAATTAGACGTTTCTTTGGACCTTTTAACTTGTGAATTGATTATGTATCATAAACCTAGTAATGTTAGATCTATAACCCAATTTTACAACTTTTTCTCACAACCTCCAACCTGATAGTTCGTTATTAGTAAGTTTGTAAATGGGTAGGCAAGGATAATACAAGAAGGAGAGACAAATTTTACAAGCTGAAAAATAACGAAATGATACGTAAGGGGTTATGAGAAAAGATTAAGAGATTGAGTTGTGAATCTAACATTACTTATACTAAACCTAATATCGGCATAATTAAATTACATTTTCACGACTTGGATAAAAAAAGATACGGCTCATTAGTCATTCCCATTGTCTATAATTTGTAGAGATACAATACAAAAGAGTATTTCCCACAATCCCGGTAGGAATCAAATGTGCTTCTCATAAGTTTGTAATAAATAGGATTGATGCGGCGAGTTCGCGTAACAACAAGACTTACACTTGACTATACCTTTAGATTCGATATCAGTCTCAATCACAAAAACTTATGTTATAAAGTATGAAATAAATCTGAATAATTATTGAATAATATGTTTATATAGGGTGACAACCAACCTTAACGATGTACTCCCAATAAACAAGGAAATAAACTTCAAATTAATTAAAAAAATCTTTAATAAAAATAAGAAAAACATGCAAAAAACTTAAACAACCTCAAAACATGTCGAAATAGTATATTTTAGGCCTGAAAATAAACCTCCAAACGAGATAGCCGGGTTGTCAC